CAGGCATCTCATGTGCATATCAAGCAGGGCTTGGAGAGGTGAGAGGCCAGCACCAGGCTGTGGCCTGGGCAGCCTTACCAAACCTACCCACCCACTTCAGAAGGATGGGAGAGGATTCAAAGCATTGTTGACCCTTCCCATCACTCTTTGTTCTTCTTCCTGGGGTCAACCTTTGACTGCCAGAGCTGTGGACTGGCTGGGGCTACACTATAACTCGAAAGTCCCTCCTAGTGGTGTCAGTAGCTCAGATTTGGATAGACTTCAAGAGAGATTAAAAATGGCAGTTGGGGGCTGGAGAGATGGCTCAGTGGTTAAGAGCATTGCCTGCTCTTCCAAAGGTCCTGAGTTCAATTCCCAGCAACCACATGGTGGCTCACAACCACCTGTAATGAGGTCTGGTGCCCTCTTCTGGCCTGCAGACTTACACACAGACAGAATATTGTATACATAATAAATAAATAATTTAAAAAAAAATGGCAGTTGGGGTGGGGGGAGCTGCAGAGATGGTTCAGTGGTTAAGAGCACCGGCTGCTCTTCCAGAGGTGTGAGTTCAGTTCCCAGCAATCCCAAGTTGTAGGCCCATATTTCTATATGATGTGGTATCCAGGCTCTAAAGCCCTAGGCCCCACCTGAGGTGGTCAGGTAACCCTGTTGTCTGTCACTGCCCTAACAAAGGGTTAGGATGTTGTTGCTCCTTTCTTTGTAATTTGGAGAATGCCTGATAGAGATGCTGATTCAAGCCTATGTGACAGGTAGTTGTGTATGTGATGAAAAGCCATTTACCTGGTTACCTTGGAGACAAAATACTAATGTATTTTCCCTAAGTTAAGTTTTGGTATAAAGGCTGTTTGGAGAATAAACAAGAGGGATTCTTCAGCATGTAAACTCAGGACTTCATGAAGGACCACTGAGAAAGAATCTCCCTCTCGATAAAACCATGTGAGTTGTGTCTTTATTCCTGTGAGAAATAATTGAGGGTCCGGGCTAGCATCGGATCCTGACACAAGGTGACTCACAACCATCTATAGTGGGATCTGATGCCCTCTTCTGGCAGGCAGGCATACATGCAGACAGAACACTCATACCAAAGAGAGAGAGAGAGAGAGAGAGAGAGAGAGAGAGAGAGAGAGAGAGG